TTGTATTCCCAATTACACAGCAGAGAACTGAACTCGCAAGTGGGCAGAATTCTATTGGGTAACTTATTCAAGCAGTACCGTTGGGTCAGACAACGTACGACCTATTTTTAATGACGCGTCATTATCTTCAGGATCATTTAGTTTACAGCGCGCCGACCTAACATGCACCGATTTCTGGTGGCGACCATCCCTTTTTATTATATAGAAACGTCCAGTAGATCTTTACCTTTTAGACGACTCCTTACTACTTGTCCACATAAAAATTGCGATTAAATTGTAAAGGTTATAACTAAAATTCGATATAGGACTATTAACTACATTTGGAAGGCTCATTTTCGTGTATAACTCAGGAGGGGTTTTATATTAACTACTGCTCCTTGCCTCCCGTCTACGAAAATTCTAGTCAAGTTTATTAATTGTTAATTACGACAATGCGAGTTATTTGTTCGTTCTGGGTCGGGTTAGTTTCTGAAAGAAATTTAGAGTGATTAAATTTAGTCATGGTTTCAGTGTCGTTAAAATAGTAGATTTCATACGACCGTGACAGATCGTAATTAGTTTTCTAGTGTTCCGTCTTCTGGTTCATTTCTTATATTTGTCTCAGGCGTCCCAGCGATACCGTCATATTAAAACCTACGCATATGGCCCTAATTCAGCTCGTGACAAGCAACAACCGCTGTTTCGCTGATATTTTTGATCTATTTTTCGTTAGCTTTGTTGTAAGAACTAGAACTTTTCAGACAAAATTGTAAGTCACGTAACGTACGAACGCAGTAGACCAACAAAAATACATTTATAGTATTATAAGTAATCAAATCGAGGAGCTTTAGGTATTGCGGCTTTGGAATTAGAAAGTTAACTCGCATTCGGCGTAACTTTAAATAAGTTATATCACAGCTGTATAAAGTGATATAGATGACGCAACGCGACTTCGCCCTTCGCTAGAATGGTCACATCTGCTGGGAGAAATAAGAAAAAAACAACAGGCCCTTTTTGCAGATAATAAATTTTAGAACTCAGTGATAGGCCCGAAAGCGGTTGATAGATGATGCCGCATCTCGTTTGTGCGGCCTGCGATGCGCCATCATCTTGAAAATGGCGAAGACTTTTCGTTTTATTATCATTTTTGTGCTATTAAAATGTAGCCCGAACTAGACATTAATACGTCAAAAAATGCCTTTGCTACATAAATAAAATAGATCTAACAGAATGATTTAGATTGAGTTCCGTATTTCTGTTCAATAGTGTCGAACAAGTTCTCACGGACGTCACTTTTACGTTACTCACGTTGATTTAACATAAAACAGCTGGCCGATTAAGGGTAATGACAATACGCTATTAGATAAAAGTTTGTATATGAAACGTTGTTTTTTTCAATAGCGGCTGAAGATTTAGGGAATACTGAAAGTAAAAAAATCTAAGTCAGCTATCACCAGAAGCTATCATTGAAGTAAATGTCCTTTCTGGCTTAGTTAGTTATGACAAAAGCGTCGGTTACTGCTCTCCTCATACGTAGGCACGTATACATACATGCTCATATTTTAATGGATATTTACATTAATATTAACAAGAACATTTACTATGTTATCTGTGGTAAAAAAAAAAACAGCGCGCAATACGTGTTTGAATGCCAAGTGATAGTTTTTGAGTGAACAATGCTCCGCCAATATCCGGCTCCATACCGAATAGCAGAATATTTAGGTCCAAATGCTTCAAGGATCATAGGACACGATGGAGTAGGTTTTTTTGTACGTCGTGTGATTTGCATAGGGTATCAGGATAGTTGTCGCGTATAGTATATATAAATAGATTTATTTTCCTTGCAGGCACCACAGTTAGGCCTATATTTGGTACCTTTTGTCGCATCGCGAATTAATATGGGACAAATCATGTTAGCGTAATGTGTTTCAGCCCAAGCTGATTATCGTCCGTTATTTTGTTTCATCTTTTGTCACGTCGCAAATGAAAGAGACATATATGTATATGGCTAATAGTAACATTATAACCATTATAGCACGTTTCATCTGAGGACGATTTGGAAAAGTTGTGAAATACTGTTTCCTTGCCACTCTATATATATATATATATATATATATATATATATATATACGAACTGGCAATTCTGTATGTGGAAAAATTCTACCGGAAGCTGGCTTTCCAGCTTTATTTAACATATTATATTGACGAAAAGAAAAAAGCGGTGGTAAGGCGTATAAGTAAGCAAACAACTTAAGGACCTTATAGGGTTTTTTAGGACATACGAGAATCTGAACCATATTGGAGTGACCATATCGGTTTGCTATGTTGGTGTGTGCCATATAGTCACCAGATTTCGACGGGAAGCTCACTTCTAAATAAATAAGTGTTCAAATCTATATACGAAAATTTCAAACCCGTTTAGTTCACGAACATACACTTACACCTACGCACCAAAAATGTCACTTTCGTATATTAGGTGGAAAATTTCCATTATCGCCAGACGTTTGTTCCCGAACTGCATTGTTTGCAGGTGTACAAGGTTCCACCGATGTATTGTTTGTGAGATGATTCTAGGTAGACCACTACCTCTGAACAACCACGTGTACATTATATCTCGAAGGCCACCTTGCGGTAGTTGCATATGATTGATCGCGCACCTAGTACATAACGTTGTTTACTCTAATCTAGGCACTGGTCCATCCGTTCGTTGTGTTTACAATAACTGGCCTAGAGATGTAAGTGAAGACTCTGCTTTAATTCAATCATGTACACTAAAAGCTGCCCTTCAGCTATCAAATGTTAGTCTTGGGAATACTCCAGCAAATAGCCTCTATATGAAAGTTGATCTACAGTTCTCTTGATTTCCGTCGTACTAACGTACTAGCAATACCAATTCTACATGAAGATACACTGACGAGAACGATTTTATTGCGGCAACTAACAACGGTGTTGTAGATAAAATCGCTAGTAACCGCTGATACTAAAACAAATGTACAGCTCCTAACTACGAACCCTTTTTCAGTTCAGGTCGTTTGTTACGTCTATTTTAAGTGTTATCTCCGATTATCGCTATGTCTGCAGACAAACGGCGCTAAGTTTCACGACAAGTAGAACGTGGTAGAAAGTAGTAGACGTTTGATTCACTAGAACAATAGTAATCAACGAACGTCGAGACGATTCTGTTGGATCGTGACCTGGTAATGTCCTAAAAAGTAGCTCATAACCTTTGTCCTTGTGCTTACCTATGATTTGCTCTAATGAAGTTTCATCTCAACTACGAGTGCGACTACTTCAGCAAGTGTGCCCTAGTAAACAGAAATCTAAATCAGCGTTTTGGCTGACGTCGCGTGAGGTTGTGATAAAGGCCAGCGACGGTACGTTCGGCGCTGTTTACCCTGGAGCGGCAGAAATACCGTTAACCTTTTAATTCAACTGCCTGTAGCAATTTATAATAGAAGCAAGGTAAGCTTTGTAGACGAAACCGTTGTTCCCATATCGAGTGTAAGCGGCATTCATACGCCATAGGGGATTTGTATGAAGCCGATAAATGTTAGAATTATTCATGATGAGGTTCATGATTGCCGACAGATTGTCCTCAATTCATAATGAAGCCAACTAGAATATTCTGTCTTTATCGCACTAAACAACGAAGCTTACAATTTCTCGTTTTTAGTGACCATTATGTGTTGTCATTATTAAGGCGCATCGTGATTTTTTATCAAGAGCGCATGGTATAATTAGGCAATTTGATTAGTTTTACGCGACCATAACCCAGTTTATCCAGGCCATTAAAATTCAAACATTAAGTCGGACGCGTAGGTGTCAAGGGAAACTATCATACGAAGTAGTCTCAGGGTTGTCATGGCTTTCTACCTATAATTAGTAGAAAAATAAAGGTAAAAATTTAAAGAGAAGAAAAAAGCTTTCCTTTCCTAGTATGATTTAGGTATTGATTATATTATGCTAAAAGTTTTAAATTATATTATCTTAAACTTTGCAACATAATTTTTACACGGTCACTATTAAATAGGTACAACAGCGTTTTTTTTCCATATAAAAAAGATTCTATCAGTTCAATATCAGATGAACAGCTGTTCTATTTCACCGCATTTTTTTCCGCCTAAAAATTCCCGCCATTCGTAGAAACAGTTTTAACTTGAAGTAGATAGGCAAATGTCGACGCAACGCCTAAATAGTTAAAATACACATTCAGTGGACACAAATACGACATCGCGAAACTTTTTTGAGAGAGGCTTAATTAATTCTTATTTTTTTTCTGCGTAAAGAAGGGTTTAATTGATCCACGCGTTTATCGGATATTGTTATTACGTGTTCTATAACTAGAATTGCTAGGTAGTAGCATTGTGTTGTCTGAACTTCGACAACTAAACGAGTTTCCCTGGTGGAAAACACATAAAACTGTCGTTTTACGTGGACAGTCGCATGACCAGTCATGTCCAGCGATTTGTAAATTGTTTTTTTATGTTCAGCTAGAAGATACAAAATCGAGCAGGGGCGGCTTTGCGCCAGCAACCAGCATAGGTCACCGGAAAAAGCATATAAGAAGTCCTCAATATGGTAAACGTTATAATGCATTTTTTCCTTTAACATTCACCATTTTCAGATGCTATACATTGAATTTTATATTTAATTGAAAATAATCCGTAATTTTACTAACGAAAGAAAACAATGCGTAGCCATAATAGTATATAAAGTCGGTGGAAAAATATGACCTCAAACGTATTTTTACCTTTGCTATTGAGATGTCAGCATATGATTAAGTTACTCGACCATTAACTTCACATGCGTGGTGATAACACTAATTTATCCCTTAGAAAATACTTCACTGGCGAAATGAAGCCGTCCCTGCTTTGCCTTAAGAATTCGCTGTCACAAAATAGATCATTTATGCCATATATAGGTACTTCTAAGCTACTATTATGACGCATATTGAGAGAGCGTCTGTGACGTTTCGGGCTAATTTTAAATAGCTCAAATGTCAACAGAACCTAATTACTTACCACATGAGTAGTCATCAGAATTGACAAATTCAGACGACATGAACTGCGCGACCAGAGACGACTTCCCTACGCCTACACCTCCGAGCATGATAACCCGAAGCGGTGGTTTTCCTTCTCCTGCTACGACCCCAATCGGCGACGATTTGTTCGATGAGCTTGAGCAGACCGACGTATTGCTTCGTGAACCTTCCCGATAGCAATCGCCACGGTTGACGATCTCGCCTTTTTCGTTGTGTTGAAAGTTTCTCGCCACGTAAAACTGTCCTTCATCGCCCTGCGGGCTGGACTCATTCCCAGATGAGGGCATCGTTGACACGCGCGGACGAAAGAACTCGGTCCCGAAATCGTCGTAAGCGTCAGACGTCTCCGAACGAGCAGAGCTACTACGGTACGACTGTGAGCGATTGTGGCGGCTGGCGAAGAGGCCCTCGAGAGTCCTAGACCTTGGTCGGCAAACCCGACCCGACGGGGAATCAGGGCTGTCCACAGTGTGTGGGACAGCGTAAGGGCATGCGGCGAGGGCCATTCCTTCATCACCTCGGGAATCATCAATACCGCCTCGATCGCTGCCATCGCGACTTTCAAAGGTTCGATAATCGGGGTCCACTTCTCTACTATTTCTGTCACGTTCCCTCTCCCGGTCTTCACGGAGCTCATGTGTAACGTAACAGTTCATTGGCGCCGCATCTGAATCTTGTTCAGTTAGTGTGCGGTCAACGCGGTGCGATGCAGATGACGTTGGCCGACCGTCGTGGCCACTATCTAATACGAACGGTATACTGGCTGAGCGAGGTCGCCGTATGGCGTTGTAGGGCTGAAAAGCTTCCGAAGGCGGTAGATTCGGACTAGCATAGCTGGACAGGTGATTCTCGGTCTCTCGGTCTGGAGTGCGCAGCGATGAAGCTGAAGGTAAATGCTGATGCTGTGAGTGCTGTGGATGGCCTGTAGGTGATAGCGCATAGAAATCTCGGGAAGGACTGTTGCCACTATCACGCCCACTTCCAAGACATTCAGGAGGTGAAACCATTTCTTCCTCGTCATAGCAGTCGTCAGCGCCAGAGAACTGCCTGGCTTGGTACGGCGGCGGGAAGTCTCCCGTATCGTATTCCGTCTCCGTGGAGGACGTCATTCGGAAGTGACGACTCATGTTTTCTTTACGTGTTTCGCACGCGTACGTGTGTGTGAATGTATATAAGACAGAAAGTCGGCCTGCCCGCGTATGCTCGGAGACGGGAATATCAAAAAATGAATTTTTTGTTCGATGTTACTTCCCAGTACTATTAATTTCGGTAAATTAAGCGGGAGGAATGTGACTGCTTCCTCTGTTAAGAACCATAAACAGTGCCGCCAGGTCCTCAGTGTACTATTTAGCTGTATTTTTTCTTGTTTTTTTTAGAAGCTTTTTCCGCTTTACAAGCTGAGAATTTTTAGCATGCTAATTACTTGCGCGGTCCTTTACTTGCAGTAGCAAAAAATTCTTTTTTGCTGAGTATGCAGCGATAAGCCGCTTTCACCACAAATCAGAGGACATCTGTTTTGATATTGATAGTTTCTACGTTGCAGGGTTTCCTCTCGATACCTGAATCCGGAAACTGGCGACAAGAGCTGGTTACCGCTAAGACCAGCATCCGCGTCAATTTATCGGTTACTTAGTAGAGAGGACTAATGTAAACGTGACGATCAGCCAAACACTATCATTTTCGGGGGGTGAAAATCGATCATGTAGGATAAGGGACTGGATCGAAGCAAGCCTAACCTTACAGGACGGTTGGGTCCGTGCGCTTTAGCCAAAAAAGTTCAATTACAGGTAGCAGTGCACGAATTGAACCGGCGTCTTTCTTCTCTTCAGCTCTGATCGCTCAGCTAACATGCAATAGATTACAACGGTTCGTCAGGGTGCGTACATATGTATGTAAATCTGTGCTGACATGGGTCGCAGTTCTACATGGTCTGGGGCTCCGTTCCGCCTGTCGATTCACCGCTTCCAGTATATAGATCCGACGATGTCTGTAAAACGCAAGCAAAATAGCGAGAGAAAAAGGCGTTACTGAAAAAAGACGCAGACAACCCACAGCATAAGGAGGTGTTAAGAAATTAATGCTAAAACGATACGCTATGTAACCTGAGTTATTAGCGTAATGAACACGTATGTGTATTTACAAATAAGCTTGGTTTTATATAGGAGCTCTTTCATCATGTGATCTTTGGGGGGATTTAGCGACACGAAGGCCGGCTATCTGAATTCAGTTGGAGTTTCCTTTTCAGATTTGCTCATATATCGCTGAATGCGGCCTTCAGTATAGGTTTTCTATATTCGATTATCTCCTTTTTAACAACAAACTCAGTCGATTATATTATATACATTTGTGCATATACACATAAAAGCTTGGAAAATTTGCACCTTAAAAATGGGTCTACCCTCTAGAGTCAGTAATATACATGTACGGGACGCAACCTAAATTTTATAAGTAGCCTTTTATCAAGAAAACCTCATGATCAGCTAGCTTAATCAGGCGGTCCGTGACTCAGCAGTCGAACATGACAACAGAGCAAAATCGCCTGTGCGATTAATTAGAGGTTTGCCTTTGGACTTGAAGTAATCGAGCTCGTAACGCTTCGACACTGGAGTATTTTGTAGCCTGTATTATGTAAATCTGACATGTGCGTGATACATATGTTGAATATGTGGCGTTTACACAATTGATTTTTTATTTTTATGCGTTTTACGAGTATTGATAATGAGGACCTTGCGTTTTTTTCAAACGTTACCGATTCGCGCGTATCACTTAGGGTAACTCTAATGATTCTTATAATAATAATCGTGGTGATATATCCAGTACAGCTGCTAGTACTGTTTAATGGCAATATTTCCTATTATGATACGAAGAGCTTGCATGATTCGAAAACAAGAAGGTCGTTAACAGCCTCATATGTTAATGGAAAATACTATCCTTTTCTAATATTTGTACTGCACAAGATGGGGTAAACTGTCTTTTGTCGCAATACATGGATAAAGCAATGTCTTTAATCAGCGATTTGACTAATAGCCTGAGTTTCAATGTATTTATTATTGTAATTATAAAAAAAAAAAAAAAAAAAGTTATTTTTTGTATATTTATTGTATGGAAAAATTACGATTTTTGCCGATGTAAATGATCGTTCGCACTTCAAATTGGTTGATAGATTGTCGTCGCCAACTAACCAGCTAGGTCGGCGGACGTTGTGATAACTGACGTAAAAGATTTAGACATAAAAAAAAACGAACATTACATGCTTCTGTTACGGCGGTACATTAAGGATTCAATCCCTACCTTTGAAAACTCTGCACGGACACAGGTATCCTTTGCGATACACAGCCAATATTTAGCTCTGCTACATCCACAACTCAATGCACTATGGCTTATACCACTTCAGCATTCTGACATTGCCTTTTATTAAACAAGTGACTCGCATCGCGGCCCTTTATTCCACACAGCAGCTGGATTTCTTCGACTCGTAAAGGCTTTTACTTACAACGATGACGTAACAAAGGGATGACTAGACAGTGCATCTGAAAAGGCTAGCTTCGATCATTCCGATGCGTCGACCATAATGGGATATTGGAGGTTTAAATTAAGCAGAGCTGCCTTATTCGAGAGGAAGAGCAATCTTCATACTCTTGTAAGAGCATGTGGCAAGATAATCGCTCTTGTCTGACATATACCTTGGCTAAAGCTGGATGGCCTGACAGAATACATTCCCTCGACAGAACAAGAACCTCATGTGCTATTTTGATTTCGTCCAGCTAACATTCCAGCCTACATATCACGCACTAAATCTCACAACGATGAGCCGAAGGCCTATCGATGATAACCGACTTCGGAGTAAACGGTCCCAAATCAGGCAGGGATTCGATTGTGCGACTGCCGGTCAGTCAGTCGGTCGGTCGATGTCGATGGCGCTTTCCGAACCGAGGAAACAACGCACGACTCTACACATGTATCGCTGTCTACAATATTAATTATGATGGTCTTACTTGAGGAAATACTTAAAGACGTTAGGGTTAGGCTTGATTGTCTTCATGGTCACACAGACACAGCACACGAGAGGCTTGCAAGTGACAGATCTGTCCAAGGCGATAACATAACGATTAGTGTTAACGTTTTAGGACATGTTAATTTGATACCTAAAAAGGCGAAAGAAAACAATTCGCGTTCATTTTTCGCTGTTTGTATAGCAGCTAAATACATTTTTTTTTTCTTTCTCTTGCAGTGTGCGACTAGGGGGTTTAGAGCGCCAAACGTAGAGCCGTGTTTAGAGGAAACGCTATTCCTTTGTTGATGATTTGGACAATAATTCAGTTGTGAGTACAAGTTTCTCTGTGTTTTTTTGGAGGTCATAAGGCGCGTGAAACACGGCAAACATCGCAGTAGTTTCTCAATGTTTATTTGCCAGTACTACGAGGTTCACTTAACTGTTTTTTTTCTTTTTGGCTGCCTCAGGCTCGTTGAAGTGCAAAATCCGGGTACGGATTTCCTATCACCTGAATTCATTGGGATTATCTGGATTAAACCACATCGTCAATTGAACTGACGCTATCCCGTTCACGTCGGCGCATGGAGATCTCTTAGTTTCGCATAGAAACGTTCGTATATAACCGACATAGTCAGCACAAAGGTCGTTTATCAATTTAGGCGGACATATGTTCAGGGCATCGGCTTCTGACGTTTTATAACATTCTGTATTTGATGCCAGGTTCGGGTCCAATATTTTACCCTGGCTTAATAAGGTTAGGCAGTTATATAGGACCAAAGCGATTGAATACATGATAAGTTTCCTGCGTAAGGCTGACCAGGATAGCGGTTATAGTACTGAATAAAATTAAATGTCTTTATAGGCAGGCAGATATAAAGGACGCATACAGCATTATATATTTCAACATATCGTTTGCAAGCACTCAGTGATGATCGGTTCCGCTACGACATGAAGTAATCGCGCAGTGAAGTAGATCTTCACTGACTGCGCTTCAGTTCAGCTTTTATTCTGACGAAGACCTTTTGTCTTCGTCAAACGTCTGTCTATTTTTAGCTACACTTATTTACACTAACTATAAAATGTACGTTTTTTTACATTTTTTTCAGAATATCTGAACCAGCGATATTCACACGCTATTCAACGAATAGCGTACAATTTTTAGTTCGAGTACATTACGATTGTCTTTCGTTAGCTGCATAATGTATTAGTAAAATATTTTTGCTACTTCTGTTGATATCTTTCGTGTAAGGTGAGCTACACGTATAAAAAATTAATTTCTATCTGCTATACGTAACTGTAACGCATATAATTTTTGCCTTCAATGCATTAGTTTGCTGGAGTAACTTAAGCTACGATAGTTTTCTATCTTAAGCTATCTCGTACGCTATTTACCCATGTCCGATTACATAACTCAATTACTTCTTTATTATTTTTTTTAATGGTTTCATTTCATCTGACTCGGGATCGGGACCTTGGAACGACATTGAACATCCTCTTTCAATACGTTGAGCTCGATATTGAGAGGTTCTGTGCCTCGCCATAGTAGCACAAGCATGCCACTGCCCGTAATACCGATGTGCCGTCCTGTACTGGTTATGTGTATGCCCAAAATATTTCCCGCAATTCTTTCTTTCCTCGTTAATCTCGACTTCTGTTTGTTTTCCTAGTCAGTTCTAATATGAAGACTTCGCCACGGTGTCCTGATAACCTCGCCATGATCTCATCAGGGTCAACCTACTTCAAACTGGCCTGAAAGATTGCAGTGTCGAAAAGGCAATCCTGGCTGGCACAGAATGAACCAGACCCTGTGGCTTTGTGGTATCGTCTGAGAAGGCCATAGCACATAGTGACAGACATGAGCACCACTATATTTTGTGTCGTTATAAAATTAGTGGATTGTAATAAACTGTTTGCCCTCAACCGATTTAGGGTTCCCCCGGATCTCCTCACCACATTACAAAAAACGTCTATCGTTAAGTAGAGGTTGTGGGTACTTGTGCAAAGGCGTCGGGGGTAGTCTACTAGCCAGTTTCGTTCATTGTGAATAAAAGGGTTCAAGCCCCAACAAATAAGGTCTAGGTTCGGCGGAGTCTATTCTGCCTTCGTAGTTTTTTTAATCAGTTTGCAAGTGCAACATTTAGAGAAAGACTCATAGGTGCAGCGTTCTACGACAGAGAACACCATTTTGCAATGGACCGTGATAACTCTGAACTTACTATGTGGATTTATTGAAGGTAAACATTTTGCCTCATTACTTCGCTTAACTTCAGCAATTTTAGCTTAAGTGGTTGCTGTTAGTAAATTTCGTTACGCAAGTCAGAACATCACGTATCTTCAATAATAATTCTTGCATAATTTTATAGCGGCTCATGAGCATATTACGAGGCTGATAAGCATAATAACAACATAAAAATAAAGAGATATAAATGAACCATAAACTTTTGCTTTCGCTAGCTTGTCACTCACGGCTAATAAAAATATCATATGATTTTGTTTTAATTTATAAGGACACCGTATCCTAGTTACATAACCGCTAAGCAAATGGACGAGTAGAGTTTACCGATCGAGTGTCCGCCAGGCGCGCTGCAAGGATCCTATGTAGTTGTCAAGTTTTTAATTTGAAGGATCTGCCCCTTAAAGGCATTGTTCGTACATTATGTACCCATAGTGCCAAACTGTACGATACTAGCGACGCTCTTAATGGAAAAGAATCTCCGCAAATTGACTTAACCGACTCAAGTGTTAAGTGGTAACTTAATCGTAAAATGTATAGTTTTGGTAATCTCTATCAATACTCTTATTGATACACTTGCGATGAATATCGTTTGATCTTCTTTATCTGAACTATTTTATCCTCACAATCTGAAATTCAATTGCAGTATGTTCAATACGCTAATGGTGGCTCGCCAATTCGTTGTCATAAAGGTCAGTTTCTTATATATACCTGTAGTCAGCGGACACTGATCGTAAATATGACGTTTTTATTTAAAACA